TTAGTGCTTTTACCCAGGAAAGTCTAAATGGATGAATTGAGACACTTAAACCCAGTCCTGAAGAAAATTTCATTGGATAAATGTGTATTCACTTTTTAATCTTAACGTAAATTTACCACCTGAGTGACTTAAAACAAACACACTTATGCACTTACAATTCCTGAAGTCAAACAGGAAATAAGTCTCAGTGGGCTAAATTCAATTTGCAGGTCTAGGTTTGTTCTGGAGGCCACAGGGAAAAATCTATTTACTTTCCTACTCCATACTTAGATTATAGTGTAATATTTCTAAATATATTATTTATAATTAATGAATATTTCATAGTGAGGGACTAAATGACAGTTCTTAACTTGTAAATAAGGTTGAAAAGCCAAATTGTTTTGGCTAGTGTGTCATGAAGCCCAGTATGTAACCCCCAAACTTTATATCAAAGGAACTTAGTTCTCTCCTTTGTTGAAAAGAAAAATAGCCATTTTATGTAGAATCAGGGACTGTCTCCTTATCATAAACCATGATTTGGAGATTAGAGTTTCTAATCTAGACTAGAAATATCTTAAATCAGGGTTGGGATAAGGTGCTGGGAGGTTAATCCTCTGGAAGCCAAGAAATTTTATGAGGGAGAACTAGTAAAAACTAGATTAACTTGACTTCTTAACTGGTCTTTTGGGAACACAGAATCTCCAGGAAAATATTCCCTTCTGTCAAGACCCACAGGGAAATCAGGTGATTAGAAGCTAGAGTAACAAGACAGAAATGTATCTAATGAGCAGACATGGAGAGCTATAAATATCTCCTCATCTCCAGTCTCTCAGCATGTGTGACCTTGGGCTGGGTGGGACCTGGTTGTTGCTTTTGGAATCCTAAGTTTGTCTAGGAGACCTGTGCTTGCCTCCTTCCTGCTGTCTTGTCTGGGCAGAGAGCTTCATTCTCCATCATCAACCATCCAGAAGGTTGGACTTTCCCATGGAGACCTTCCCCTCAGAGTTCCCAAACAGGTGAGTCCAGAGGTGCAGTATGTACTACAGAAAAGGGTTAGAGAGAGTCAAAGCCAAGCACATTTACCTGAGGTCTCTTGACAGGCATCAGCCTATGATTGAAAATTTGCCTGATTAATTATTGATTAGTTTATGATGTTAAAAGGAGAAGTGAACATTGAACTCAGCAACACATGGGTAATTGTTGGCAATTAACTGATGGAAACCCAATTAGAGGTGGTAATGGGAGGCATAAATTATTTCAAGTAAAAGTAGAATGTACAAAATGATTTTTGTAACTAAAGTTAGCAGGAAAGCAGAGTACTAGGGATGGAGAGTGTCCAGTAAATTGAGGGTAGTTTTCCTTTATTTTTATCATGAGGTCTATTCAAAAGACCCAGATCCAGTATATTTTTTATAAGTATTACCTTGCAACAGTAGTTCAGAAGACATACATTTCACAGTATCTTCTTTCACTCTGGGTATTCAATTCACATGAAAAATTTATTTGATAAGTAAAAGGAGGTATGCTAAATAGCTTAACTTTGCAATTACTTCATTACTGGTGACCTGAATATATTTGTGGGTTAGTTATTCATTTGCTTTCTCTCTTGTAAACTGTCTGTACAAGTTTTGACATTTGTATAGTGGGGACAGAGTGTGTTTTTTTTTTACTCCTGTTTTTCATTGCATTCTCCAAAACAAGGAATTGGAGGTTTTCCTCATTCACTTTGTTGTCATTGAGTACCTTCATGTGTGTATATGTGGGGAATTATGAGTGTTTATTATTATTGTGGGCTCAAATCTATCACTCAGTCATATTGTATTCTCTTCATTGTTTTTTTTTTTCACTTTTCTTACTGAGAAAAAGTCAGCTGATCATTTTATATTCTTCACTTTGGAATCCTTACTATAAAACAAGAATGAAAGTGAATGTTCTGAGTAGTTGGTACTAACATATCACTACACACATATGGCCTAGTTGTTTCACATCTCTGTTATTCCTTATTGTTCTTTTTGGCCTTTGTCGTTAGCTGTATTTCCAAAATTTGCATCATCTTCTACTATCTTCTGGAAGGCATTCTTTTTTATATTGGACTACAGATTACCTTTACCTTCCATTAGCATATTTGAATTCATATATCTTTATATCAGAGGGAAGATCAACCAATAAACTTGTATGTATATATGCATAACCCATGGACATAGACAATGGGGTGGTGAGGGCCTGGTGGTGGTGGGAGGGAGGATGGGAGCATGCTGTAAGAGTTTAACGGGGGAAAAAGAAGGCTTTCAACAATACTTCCAACAATAAAGATTAAAAGAAAAAAAAAGAAGAAATTATAACTTAGACACTGCTTTGAAATCACTTTGTTTAACAAGGTTTCATTCTCCTTGTCATGCCTTTCATTTCATAACTTCACATTTACTTAAATGTGTTCCTATATAAGTGCACATATATTCACAAACAGTTTTGAAAAGACAAAGGTGAATAAAACAGGTGAAGCTTGTTCGGATCTGGCACTGTGATGGTGAAGATAGAGTACAATGAAATATATGTTTGCAGGACAACGTGCTCAGGCTTAAATTGTATGAACAAAGTTACTCAGTGTAGAAGGATGGTTCCTCATGGCATGTGCAGCATGTATTGCTCACGTCCTGGGAGGCCTTTGCATGTTGGAAGAATACCAGAATCAGAATTAGATTGTGCCCCTTGATTGTCAAAAATGAGATCAAAACCCAAAGTCCAAGGAAAACAATGATGCCACGTAGGAAAAGTGAGAAAGGGGATTGTCTCATCTGCCATCAACCATATAAAAACCAACTGGTCAATTAAATAAGGAAGAGGCACAGGAAAAACCAGTCTTCCACTTCTTGATGTTAAAAATATTTAACCTGTGCTGTTTTTGTATATTTCCTTTTGTGAACATTGGTTTATTTTTTGATAATTTTTTACTTTGCATAGTCAATCTGTAAGGTGTTTCATACCATATATTTGTAACTACCTCTGTCTTTTGGAGAAATTTGTTTTTCTCTTTTATTATTTTTGCTTGGCCTCAAGGGGGTATTATTAGGGTTGGAAAGCTGCTAGAATCCAAAGAAGATTTTGCTTCCTCATCATCTCTTAGGGACCAGCTAAGTTCATTAGATCTCTTTTCTTCCTCATGTGCATTTTATTTCTGTCTCTCCCACTATGTTTATTTAACCTATTGTTCATGTTTCTTTAAATACAGGGCAGAAAATGGGAATAGCAATATGAAACCTCAAGCGTATTTGTCCATGGGAGGCTTATGATATGAATATCAAGGTACTATTTCTAAATTCTTTTTAGAAAAGATACTTTATCTAGACTTAATCTGGAGCATGGTCTATAGTTAACATACAGGGTGTCCCCCCACCCCCAAATGTATACACACTGTACAATCTGGTAGCTCAATGTATCTACTCATAGCCTACATTGCTCGGGAGGGAGGGAGAAGGACATGGACATAACAGATGAAGGGGCCCTGGTGTGTTGTGTGTTTGCCTTAAAAACTGAGAGCAGTCCTCAGAGCAGAGGTACCTGGACTCATATATTCAACTAGAGGCCCAGTGCATGGATTTGTGCACTGATGGAGTCCCTCGGTGTGGTCTGTGGAGATCAGGCTGAAACCAGCAGTCCAATGCCGCCTGCTGCTCCTGCCTGCTGCTCCTGCTCATCCTGGCTCCACTGTGCCTGCCGCTGCCACTCGGTAGGCTCACTGTTGCTCTGCTGTGATCTCCAGGCTATTGTGGCCAGCAGTGAGCCCTGTGTCTGGCGCCTGTTGGCAGCTGAGCAGCGCTCCCGCCATGGGAATGTACTGACCACCACGGGGCAGCTCCTGCATTGAGCATCTGCCCCCTGGTGGTCAGTGTACATCATAGTGACCGGTCGAACGGTTGAACAGTACCTTAGGCTTTTATACATATAGATGTGACTCTAAAATCAAGAGAAGGTAACAAAGAAGAGATCCTTTTTGATTCACTGGATGCTTTTGTAACCAGATTAATAAAGTGCAACATTTACCTAGTGTGCACAAGGCACCCTCTATGACTTGAAGTTTCAACAGCAACATGCAGGCTACCTTGTTTCTTACTATTTTTTGACACCATCTCTCACCCTGCTCTGCCTTGCTCATTCCCCCAGATACACTGGGTGATTTTTAGCATTGATTTTCTGAAACAAGCATCTTCCTCAGGGCTTTTGCACTGGCTGATCCTTTTGTTTGCCAAGAACATCCCTCTTAGTCTCCTGCTTATTCTTCATTGAGGTGTCTGTTTAACTGTCATCTGTTGGCAGTCTTGGCTAAACTCTGTAAAAATTGACACCCTCTATGCATTCTCTTCATTTAATGTGATTTACTTTTCTTTATACCATCTTTACCATTGGATATGTGATATTATCATTTTTATTTGATTAATTGTTTTGTCATTAGTTTACAGAGACTTTTATTTTTCAGCATTGCATACTGTGAACAGTGCCTGAAACATGGTCTATAGTCAATATACAAGATGTCCTCCCTCCCCCAAATGTGTATACACTGTAAAATCTGATAGCTGAATTTTATAAATTAAATGCATTTTAATAAATACTACCTTTATTATTATTCAAAGTGTGGGTTACATTTTTTGGGACACCCTATATATACCTCAAGTGAATGAAAGATATACTCAATAAAACAGCAATATACATTATGTTTGAAGAGTTGATTGATGGTAATAAAGGAAATTCTATTGAGAAATGCCAATAGAGATGACTTAATGGGAAGTAGATCATAAACCAAATATAGAAATTATTTTCCTGATTCTAAAATGTAAATGTGTCATTTATTCTCAGTTACTAATGTTTGCTAATGTGAAAATTAGTTATTCATTTTTTTTCTTTTTTTTGGTAGTCACCTCTGACACATGGAGCCAGGCAACGGTACACAAATTTCAGAATTTCTTCTCCTGGGACTTTCACAGGCACTGGAACTACAGCCCCTCATATTTGGGATGTTCCTCTCCATGTACCTGATCACTGTGTTGGGAAACCTGCTCATCATCCTGGCCGTCAGCTCAGACTCCCACCTCCACACACCCATGTACTTCTTCCTCTCCAACCTGTCCTTGGTAGACATCTGTTTCACTTCCACCACCGTCCCAAAGATGCTATGGAACATCCAGACACAGAGCAAAGTCATCACCTATCAAGGCTGCATCACCCAGATATATTTTTATATCCTCTTTGCAGTGTTGGACAATTTTATCCTGACCGTGATGGCCTATGACCGGTTTGTGGCCATCTGTCACCCCCTGCACTACACAGCAATCATGAACCCCCAGCTCTGTGGACTGCTGGTTCTGTTGTCCTGGATCATGAGTGCCCTACATTCCTTGTTACATGACTTAATGGTGTTGCAACTCTCTTTCTGCTCAGACTTGGAAATCCCCCACTTTTTCTGTGAACTCAATCAGGTGCTCCAACTTGCCTGTTCTGACACTTTTCTTAACAACATTGTGATGTATTTTTTAACTCTGCTGCTGGGCTGTGGACCTCTTGCTGGAATCCTTTACTCATACTCTAGGATAGTTTCCTCCATATGTGCAATCCCATCAGCTCAGGGGAAGTATAAAGCATTTTCTACCTGTGCATCTCACCTCTCAGTTGTGTCCTTATATTATGGTACGCTCCTAGGAGTTTACCTCGGCTCTGCTGCTTCCCAGAGCTCACACTCAAGTGCAGCAGCCTCGGTGATGTACACCATGGTCACACCCATGCTGAACCCCTTCATCTACAGTCTCAGGAACAATGACATAAAGAGGGCCCTAGAAAGATTCTTTGGAAGGTAAGCTAACTGTAGCAATCTGAAGAAGTGCCCATGAAAGCAGGGTTCAAAGCCTCAGAGCCTGATGTTCTGACACAAATAAAGCCAGTCTTTGGCCCATACATAATTCTCGTTTATCTGATGAGTTAACATGAATTACTTTAGCATAATTTATTCTTTTATGACATATATCATTCCAAGTAATTTTCCATTGCTATTCTCAAAGAATAGTCATGAGTTATCCTATTCCTATGGACAAAATGCACTTGGCTACTAAGGGCATTTGAACAATTTTCTTGTGCAGGAAAATCTGAGACCCCAGTTTTCATTTATATGTTCATCATCATTTTCTATAGCACTATCATTCTTCTTCTTCTTGATAATGTAGACTTTAACATGCTAATATGTTTTATAGCTCATCTCCTGGTTTTATAGTCTTCATTCAGCCATGTGTCCCCATGCTTATCATAGCCACTGGCAAAAATTGACTATCTAACTCATGTTTCCAAGAAGCATCTACATGGAAATATAAAATTTAGTAAATAGACTGATCTAATATGGTTAGAGTCTTAAGTGTTCTTAAATATGATGAAGCACAAATAAACATACAACTTATTACTACTCAAAATTTTTTTTCATGGCATACATCTACTCATTAAAGTATGGATATGATGTCTATGGGAAGGGTCCTTATTCATTGGGGTGAAAATTTACCTGAAGTATTTTATGTGCTTTTTCTGAACTATTTTCCTGTTTTTGATGAAAAACTTTCAGTGTGCTCCCTAAAAAAGTGCCTAGTGCTCTAAGGTAATATCTCCCCTTTTCTAAACTTTTTCAAATTCACCAAAGGGAGTGAACAATTTCAATATCATCATCATTATATATATATATATATATATATATATATATATATATATCCTTTATATTCAGGAATATCTTCAATCTTTATTACCAAAGGATGAATCACACAGGAGTTGAAATCCTGCCCAGTCATGTGAATAAGCATCACAAAATTTTCTGCAAAAACATGCATGTCCTTCCACCCTGTCCTGACTACCTGGAAGGGAACTCAGTGGAGGCACTTTTATACAGTTATCTGAAATGCATTTAAATAACAGAATGGTTGTGAATGCTGTCCTCAAATATCAGTACAAATGCCAAAAGTAAGAAGTAGCAGATTACTATAATTTCCCTCAGTTCTGTTCACTTTGATTATAGGATCAATTCATTATATATACTAATAAAAGGGTAATATGCTAATTAGACCAGGAGACCAGTCATCTTCCGACAGTCCAACTTCCTTCCAGATAAAGCCATGGTGATGGGGGCTGAGGCAGAGGCAGTTAGGGGTGATCAGGTCGGCAGGGGAGGGCAGTTGGGAGCCATGAGTCCAGCAGGGGAGGGCAGTTGGGAGCCATGAGTCCAGCAGGGGAGGGCAGTTGGGGGCCATCAGGCCAGCAGGGGAGCAGTTAGGTGGCAATCAAGCCGGTAGGCAGGCAAGCGGTTAGGAGCCAGCAGTCCCAGATTGTGAGAGGGATGTCCCAGATTGGAGAGGGTGCAGGCCAGGCTGAGGGACACCCCCCCCCTGCATGAATTTTGTGCACTGGGCCTCTAGTTGCTATATAACAAGCCATCATAAAGGCAAATGGTTTAATAGAATTCCTTTATTTTCAAATGGGTTTGTATAGTGGGGTGGGTGTTCTATTCTCTGCTGATCTCCTCATGAGTCTGTAGGCAGCTGGAGTGTCTGTGCTGACCTTGGCTGGGCTTTCTAATATATTAAGGGCTTAGCTATGGTGGCTAACCTTGGGAGGGCTTGGCTGGAATAAATGAGCTCTGTCTGCATGTTCTCTCCTTCTCTGGAAGGCCCACCTGGATTTGTTCACATGGCTCAGCCGAGGGTTCTGAGTTAGAGCAGTGGAAATGTACCAAGGCCTAGTAAAGCACATTGTCACTTCCACCATACTTTTTTGAACAAAAGAACTAAAAAAAAATCCTAACTCCCACCCAGACTGAAAGATGGAGAAGAAGACTACAGCTCTGAATGGGAGGAGCTCATGTTCACATTGGCCAAGATATGGAAACAGACAAAGAATTGGGGCCATATCTGCAAATAGACAAACATTTATTTAAATTTTAGTTCAGTAAAGTTTTATTTCTGCATTCATCCTCAACAGCTCGATGATCTTAGGGAAGAAAGTGAGAGTACAAATATGTTTAATGAGCAGATGTGGAAATTCTACACTAGAAGATCAGGCCCTTACAAACATAAACATCACCCCTCTGCAGCTTCCTCCCACTTACCATTTCAAGGCTTAAAAAGTAAAACTTTCTCCTTCCAGATATCTCCTGTCCATGGACTTAACTCATTGACTAACAGAGCTAGAGAGCTATTGCTTTCCTGATACTATCTTTTTTTGACAGAAGCTTGAAATGAGTCTCAGTAGCTGATATCAAGATGTGTGCAGGGTTGGGGTCCTTCTAGAGCAGGTGTGGATAATGTCCATCCTGCAGGCCTTATGAGGCTATCAAAATCATTTGGTCTGGCTCTGCCAAGGCATTAGGGATGAGTTAATTAAATGTTTGACCAAATATAGGAAGCTAATTATTAAGTTGATAATTTTGTATGGCCTTGAAATGATGCTCTAAATATTCAAATGGCCCTTGAAAGAAAAAAGGTTCCTCACTCCTGTTTAGAGGCTCAGGGGAAGAGCTGTTTTTTCTAACGACTTAGTGATGCTGGCCACCTGCATCCCTTGGCACATGTTCCTTCTTCCATCTTCAAGCCAGCTGTGTAGCATTTTCAAAATCTCTCTGAGACCAACTCCTTGTCTCTTTATCATTTACAGAACAACTGTGGTTACCTTAGTCCCACCTGGATGAGCCAGACTCTTCCTCTATCTTGAAGTCAGCCCATTACGTGAAGCCTGTTCCATCTGCTACCCTAATACTCCTCTTGTTATAAAATATATCATATTCATGTGCTTAGAGGTTGGAGAAACCAAAGAGAAATATGCCTGCAGGGCAGGTATGGGATTTATAAGTATCCCCTCATCTCCAGTCTCCCTTCATGCATAAACTTAGGCTGGGAGGGCATGGTTATGTTTATTTCTTACTGTTATTTGTTTGTAGCCCCAACTCTGGCTGGAGACTGATACTTCACACCTTCCTGCTATCTTGTCTGTGAACAGAACTTTAGTCTCTATCATCAACCATTCAGGGAGGAATTCAGAAGTCCCCACAATGACTTTCCTCTCATAGATCTTATCTGGCTGAGTTCAAAACCCAGCTGACCCTGCAAGAGCGAGGGGGTCACAGAGAATGGAAGCAGGAACATTTACCTATTGTCCCCTGAGAGCCCATTCGACTTAACCCAGAGGCAAGGGATTAATGTTTGTTTGCTTGATTAATTAATGTATTTATTTCAATGCTACATAAGAATTCACAGTGTGACTGCTACTCACATCTTTGATCATCTTTCATACTCTTTATCATTAAATTGTTGTCATTCCCAGCGGGCATGGCTCAGTGGTTGAGTGTTGAACTATAAACCAGGAGGTCAAAGTTCATTTCCTGGTCAGGGCACATCCCAGATTGTAGCTTCCATCCCCAGTAGGTAGCGTGCAGGAGGAAGAAGCCCATCAATGATTGTCTGTCATCATTGATGTTTCTATTTCTTTCTCCCTCTCCCTTCCTAAATATATTTCCTATAATTAACAAATATTTCATAGTGAGGGGATAAATGACAGTTCATAACTTGTGATGTAAGGTTGAAATGCCAAATTGTTTTGACTAATGAGTCATGAAGCCCAATGTGTAACACCCAAAGTTTGTATCAAAGGAATTTAGTTAGTTCTCCCCCTTATTGAAAAAAAAAATAGCAATTTTGTGAAGACATCAGGGCCTGTGTCTTTAACACAAGTCAATATTTAGAGATTTGAGTTTTCTAATCAACAGTAGAAATACCTTAAATCAGGATTGGGATAAGGTGCTGGGAGGGTAGTCCTCTGAAAGCAAACAGATTTCATAAGGAAGAACTAGTAGATATTGGATTAACTTGACTTCTAAGCTGGTCTTTTGGGAACAGAATCTGCAGGAAAATATTCCCTTCAGTCCAAACCCACAGAGAAATCAGATGATTAGGAGTTGGAGTAACAAGACAGAAATGTACCTAATGAGCAGACTTAGGGAGCTCTAAATATCACCTTCTCTCTCCTCTTTCAGCATGTGTGACCTTGGGCTGGTTGGGACCTGGTTGTTGTTTTTGGAATCCTAAATTTGTCTAGGAGACCTGTGCTTGCCTCCTTCCTGCTGTCTTGTCTGGGCAGAGAGCTTCAGTCTCCATCATCAACCATCCAGGAGGTTGGACTTTCCCATGAAAACCTTCCCCTCAGAGTTGCCAATCAGGTGAGTCCAAAGGTCCAGTAGGTACTACGGGAAAGGTCAGAGAGAGTCAAAGCCAAGCACATGTACCTGAAGTCTCTTGACAGGTATCAGCCAGTGGTTGTTTGTTTGCTTATGATGCTAAAAGGAGAAGTGAACATTGATCTCAGCAATATATGGGCAATTGTTGACAATTAACTGATGGAAGACCAATTAGAAGTGGCAATGAGAGGCATAGAATATTTCAAGTAAAAGTAGAACATATACAATGAGTTTTGCAACTAAAGGAAGTAGGAAAATACAGTGCTAGGTATGGAAGCATGTTCAGTAAAGTGAGGACAGCTCTTCTTTGTTTTTATCATGGGATCTATTCAACTATGTTTCCATATTAATGGGAAAGATCCAGATCCAATATATTTCTTGTAAAGATGACCTTGCAACAGTAGTTCATAAAACATGCATTTCACAGTATATCCTTTCACTCTGGGTATTCAATTCACATGAAAAAGAATTTTTTTGATAAATAAAAGGAGGCATGCTAAATAGCTTAACCTTGCAATTTCTTCATTACCTGTGACCTGAATATATTTGTGGTTTGTTATTCATTTGTTTTCTCTCTTGTAAATTGTCTGTACAAGTCTTGACATTTGTGTAGTGGGGTCAGAGTGTTTTTATTCCTGTTCATTGCATTCCTTTAAACAAGGAATTGGAGGGTTTTTTTTTTTCCACTCACTTTGTTGTCATTGAGTACCTTCATGTATGTATATGTGGGGAATTGTGTCTATGGGTAGTGTGGGCGCAAATCTGTCACTCAATCATATTGTATTCTCTCTGTTGCTTTTTTATTTTTCACTTTTCTTACTAAAAAAAATTCAGCTGCTAATTTTATATTCTTCACTTGGGAATTCTTGCTATAAAACAAAAATGAAACGTGAATGTTTTGAGTAGTGGGTACTAATATATCACCCTACACACACATTGCCAACTTGTTTCACATCTCTATTATTCCTTATTGTTCCTGTTGGTCTTTGTCATTAGCTCTATTTCCAAAATTTGCATCATCTTCTACCTTCCTCTGGAAGGCATTCTTTTTTATATTTGAGTA